TGGCTAATAAGCTGGACCTTTCAGCAGGTAAGCATGCAGCTTCCAGAGTTCTGGGTGTGGGTGAAAAATCTCCCCCTCTGCCTGAGAGAGGAGATCTCGTCGAACCGGAAGTTGCCAGGGTTTAGCTGYTAGCAAGCTGATTATCTCGGCGTACCAAGACTTCGCTGGCCATCGGGGTGCCACTAGGATCAAAGACAGGCTCTGTCCGCGCACCCTCTCTTGTACAAGTGGCATCATTTCCACTGGGGGAAACGCATACAGAAGTACATCGGGCCAAGGAGGCTAGGGCGTCCACTCCCAGAGGAGCGCTCTGCTCTGTCATGGAAAAGAACAGAGGACAGTGTGTGTTTGCTCTGGAGGCAAACAGATCTACTGTCGCTTTGCCAAACAAAACGCAAATCTGGGCCACCACAGTGGGATGCAGCCTCCACTCCTTTGCTAGAGGTCCRCCCCTGGRGAGGAGGTCTGGACCTAGGTTCACTCTCCCCGCAACATGAATGGCTCTGATAGACAGAAAATGAACATTGCTCCACTGTAAAAGAGTGTGAGACAGGTTCAGAAGGGGAAGGGACCGAGTCCCCCCTTGTCTGTTTATATAAGAGACCACTGCTGTGTTGTCCGTTCTGATTAGAAGATGATGGTTCTCCAGAAATGGACAAAAATGTTTCAGTGCTAACAGGACTGCTAACAATTCTAGGCAGTTAATGTGGAACCTGGACTGTTGTGGAGTCCAGGTTCCCTTCACTGCCGCACCGTCGCACAGGGCTCCCCAACCTTTCAGGGAGGCGTCTGCCATCATGCAGGAAGCAGTTATTGTTAGCTTTTTGTGTCTGTGTCGAGACGGACACAGCCTGTGGGACTGAGACCAACGCTGAAAATGTCGCATTTTTAACAGCCCGAGTGGTACTACTGAAATCATGGAAGCCATCATTCCCAGTAACTGTAGTACGGTTTTGAAGCTCAGTTTGCATCCCAGTTGAAACTGAGCTAAGCAGTGGTGAAACGTGGCCGTTCTGTTTTCTGAGAGGCGAGCCCTGCTTGACATGGAGCAGACTTCTAGTCCGAGGAACGAAAACTGCTGACGTGGTGTTAATAGACTTTTCTGGGTGTTTACTAAAAACCCTAAAGCCTGAATGTGTGACAGAACCTGAGACAGCTGATCTAATGTTTGCTCCTTGGAGCTTGCGATCARAGCCCAGTCGTTTAAATATGCTAACAGACAGACCCCTGTTTCCCTGAGGGGAGTCAACGCAGCTTCTACACACTTTGAAAAGGTGCGAGGAGCTAGCGATAAACCAAACGGTGGCACCAGGTACTCGTAGGCTACACCCTCGAAGGCGAACCTGAGATATTTTCTGWGCTCCGGATGGATCGCTATGTGAAAATAGGCGTCTGTTAAATAGATGGTCGCAAACCAATCGCCCGGGCAGATCGAGTGAATTAGCTGTTTGAGCGTTAACATTTTGAACCTGTATGTTTGAAGGTACCAGTTTAACACTCTGAGATCTAAAATAGGCCACAGGCCGCCCCCTTTCTTCGGAACAAGAAAATAACGGCTGTACAGACCTTTTTGTGTTTCTGCAGCTGGAACCACTCGAATAGCTCTCTTTGTTAGCAACATGCAAATTTCCTCTCTTAAAATGGCGGCTGCCTCGTTTGTCACCACTGTGTTTACAATGGCCTGAAAGTGAGGCGGCCTAACGCGGAACTGCAGCCTGTAACCCATAGCAACAGTTCTTTGTAACCATGGAGAGGGTGYGCATGCGCACCAGAGAGGGAGTCATCTTGCTAAGCGACTGACTTGCCTCACAGTTGGAGACGTGTTGCTGCTGCCCTCCACTGGATGGGGAAGGGACAACRTTATTGACTGTCGCCCGCAGCTTATTGTGTTCGTTTGTGCACAAAGATAATTCTTTMATGACACATTGAAAACATTTGCAGAACTGTTTATTAAAGTTTTGCATTTTAAAACACAATTTGCACCCAGGGAGGGGGCTACATGTCCGGCACAGGCCCGGCAGGACTCGGGCTCCACAAGYGCCCGTCGAGCATGAATGATTCCTAGGCAGGCTGGGCAGGCCTCGTGCTGGTCCTTCTCATGAAGCTTAAAGCCGCACCCCTGAGGACAGGGGCGAATAGAAGACTTCGGCTTCTTCGAAGGTGGTTTTGTGCTCATCGTGAACCACAAAACAGATTTTCAGCAGAAAATAAAGGTCACTTAAGTAGCGTCGAGCGGCAGACACACGAACCAGCAGGTAACGCGGTTAGCACCAGTAAAGCTAGTCTAAGAACATTAGAAGTTGAGCTAACTAGCAGCAGCTATGTGAGCTCAGGTTTGGAGGTGACTATCGCGAGGTGAAGGGCGATAGAACTGAGTAATGACGCTGGTGACTCCRAACTTATAGGGTGAAGGAGGAGCCTGTCACCAGACGTTCAATGTCACCACGTCACCAGTCTAAAGATGTGATTAGAGGTGGCTTCAGCCAGGCGTKCGAGGGMGCRTGTGTCCCATATACAACTGTGTGTTGTACTGAGTGAAATGACTGAAAAGGAACTCACTGTATCACGATAATTACAGTTAATACAAATACAGATTTATTGTCTCAGCAGTTAGGAGAAATCTGCATTTAGAATGAAGTCATGTCCATATTAAGAGGAACTTGTACATTTTTGTGGAGAGAAACACCAGAATTATCTCTGCTAACAACAAAGAGTAAAACCTCTGGTCACTTCTGATAATGACTTTGTGGACCCTGATAATGCTGTGCTGCGATGACATCCTGCATGTTAATCCTCCTGAAACATCACCCTAATGCAGCCTTTCAACAAGAAAATAAACATTATGTCATGTCGATGGACTACTTGCATCGTTTTAAGGTCCTCTRTTGGCCAGCCAGGACCCCCCATCATTTCCTTAAGAGAACAAGATCAGCTCTCATGTCAGCTCTGATCCAGTGCCAATCTGCCAGATTTTAAAGGCCAGATAAAACAACTGTGGGCTGGCTAGGAGCACTTGAAGAAATAAAAGGCTACATGACTTTGCTTTGCACTGAACTAACGTTTGTGTCAATAAGGTGTGTCTCTTTTGTATAGTAGGAGTTACTTGGCTGTTGTGGACCATCTACAGTATTAATATTTGGACAACACTGAGGTTTTAATTTTTATTATTCTGTCTGATGTTTTAACCCCAATGAAATCACCAATGTTCGTTCATTCATTTAAAAACAAACAGAAAATATATATACAATAGAGACAAAACAAAATCTAGAGACAATAGAGAGTTGCCAGTTACATTCATGTTTTTTGGTCATGAATGTCAGGTCTGTTTTTTGGTCTGTGTGGAAAATGGAGAACCCAAAGAAGTACCCAGAGAAAACACACACACTTTACCCATGCACAAACTCTACCCATAGAGGCTCTGGGCCAGAATTTGATCCGACAACCCTCCTGAGAGGCAACAGCTTGAACTGAGCCACTGTGCTACCTAACTCACTAACAATAACAAATAAACTCCTTTCCTGTTTCTATTTATTGCTGCCTTGGATTAAAATATATACTTTTTTTAAGATTTACTAAAAAGCCTGGAAAGTTGTCTTGACCCTTGTAATAATACTGTAATGTTTCACATCTTTGTAAGACAACCTCCATTGCTCTTCCTCCTCATCACATCTTCCCTCTTAGTTTTAGGAGTCCTCCTCGCAGCGGCCCAATCTTTCTCTGTGCAAATCTCTCTCGGCTCTGCATCATCAATAACTTCAAAGGCACAAAAGCAACTAAATTAGGTTCGCCACTTTCTTTTGTCATGACTAATGAGCTCTCCCTTCGTTTGTATATTAGTCTTGCTCTGCTGTAGCCGTACCCCAGGGAATGGGCCACTGCTGTGCCTTCCCGTGAACAGGTAAGCCTAAACAGATGACATGGCAGCAGAATGAAAATAGAAACAATGGGGTTTTGTTTGAGTTTTGCCAAAAAAAATAAAGAAGATAAAAAAGAATAAAATCCAGGTGTGTGTAATGTTTCTTTTGCTAAAACATTCAATAAGTTTTGCTTTTTGCAAGCTTAAAAATTCACTTARAGATTGTTGTTTCATTTGCTTTTTATATTTTTGTGCACAATACAATATGGGTTTATAAAATTGTATTTCATAATTATTTGATTTATTATATAATGCATATGTTTATTTAACAGACAATGAGAACATGCACATTTGTCTTGATCATATAATTTTTCAGGAACTGCAATGTTTGAGTGAGCTCAGATTCATGTGTTTAACCGTGTATGACTGCATGAGCTAAACTAAAAACTAAAAATCCATTTCTGACAGTGCTTGGTTTCTTAAACTGAATTTTACATTTTCTAAAAGGAAACAACAAATAAGAAAAAAAAAAAAAAAACGAAATATGGGTTTCCAGCAAATGAAAACCTAGAAGGCTGAAAGACTCACCCTGAGAGAGACATTCAGACAGCCACAGGACTGGTAAAGTTCTTATGGTTACAAAAAAAGTTCTTAGTGGATGTCAGAGTCATCTTCTGAAGCCATTGGCAGCACAGACATGACCCATTAAGCCTTTCATTAAACGGTGTGCACACAAAAATGTCAAAATCCACACACCAATGAGATCATACACTTGGAAACAAAATGAGACAAGCTATGAGTGTAAGCTTTTGTCGATGGAAATGAATGGTTATTTGTCAGCACCATATCAAAGGAGGCCACAGTGAAATCAATACAGACAGTTTTCCTAGCCAAAAACATAAAATAAATAAATAATTAAATCAGTAAACTGATGTCAAAGGCTTTATCTCAGTATTTAAAGATGTACAGAAGAAAAAAAAATTAACTATCTGCCATCCCTTTTGATTAACTTGATTTAAAAGGTTGTTGGATTTATATGTATGAACCTAAGAATGCAGCCTAAATGGACAGGACGCACAGTGATAAGAGTTGCAGCCCCCCCCCCCCCCCACTGCCTCATGATACTGTTGTACACAAGTCAATTAAAAGTAGGAGACCTCTGAACTGAGATAAAGTGTACTAGAAAGGTTTATATGACACCTAAAGCAAGGCCTGCATGGGCCAGAGCTCAGATAAAGTGTTTTTTATGACAGCTGCACATCATAACTGTTTGAACCGAACACTGAGTTCACTGACTTTCATTTCTGTGGACATGACGTCTTCCATGCAACGGAAAATTAACTTTCTCACACACAACCACAGCTTCAAAGTATAGGTGCATGTGTGTGAGYGTGTCTGTGTAACTTCAGGAAAACATACACAATGGATAAATAACTTAAAAGTAAAACTATCTGCATGCTTGTGTTTAACAAACATTTTTATTGCTTTACGACCACTTCCATCGTGTTTAAAATGTGTGGAATTAACGGAGGTGGGGAAAATTTTTCACGGACGTGACCAAAAGGTGGCAGTGTTGGGTTTTATACTGGTGCGCTGAGACACGACTAACTCCTCAAACCTCGTCTTAATTTTAATTTTATTTTATTTTATTTCATTTTTATTTTTCACATTTTGATCCTTTGTGACATATTCTCAGGGATATAGATGCCACATTTGTTTAACATCAACTTAAAGTAAGCAATGATGTAGAAGGAAAACTGCTTTATAAATTAATAAAGTCATCAATAACTTTTCGGGGAATACAAATTATATTTGTTGCTAAAAATGATTAAAATGATCATAAACAATAATCATTGTCTATCTACCTATATATTTTAAATATTTTCAAAGTTTAACAGTAAATCAAGCGCACTTTGCCTATTTATTTATGACAAAACGCATCATGTTATAACTAAAATAAAAACGGGTTTCTTTTAAAAACAAGTGTAGAAATTCAGAGCACTGAGGCAACAGAACCTGTTTCCCAGCTGACAGTCAGCTGCTGGCTTCTGACAGTTGTGAAAAGTTTCTGTTCAGCTTCTGATATGTTAATTAGCTCTCCGAGTGTGCGACCCCATTGGCTCTTTGTCCGAGTCAATTTCCCTTTTCCATCCTGACGTCAGGGCGGCTACAATGCTTTTAAACTCATCTGCTCTGTGATCCCACTAAACAGTCGTCCCACACGTCAGCGGCATCACTCAGGCTGCGTTCACTCCTAAAAAAACTCCTGTTTGACTTTTTTTTCTCCTTCCTTCTTTCCCTCTCTCCGCTGCGCGTAATGTGCTCCTGCATGAAGAAGCCGTAAAGTGTTAAATGTTTGAAACACAAACCCGCCGTGTTTCACATGCTGAAAAGGGACTCCGCTCCTCGTGCGCGCGGCACTGCTGCGTCTGTGCAATAGACTCTGCAAAGACAAACTCCTCTCACACGCCWGCAAGTCCGCGGCTGCGAAAAGGGACGCTGAAAAGCTCCGTTTTCAGTTTCAAGACAAACGCTTTAAAAAAACGAAAATCAAACTGGCTCACGTTCTTCCCAGCCAGACCAGTTTCACAGCTGCTCTTCACCCCAGTTGGAGGACTGTCAGCAGCAAGAGGATGGCATCAGAGCTGGCAATGAGCAACTCCGACCTGCCCACCAGTCCCCTGGCCATGGAATATGTTAATGACTTCGATCTGATGAAGTTTGAAGTGAAAAAGGAGCCGGTGGAGCCCGATCGCAACATCAGCCAGTGCAGTCGCCTTATCGCCGGGGGATCCTTGTCTTCCACCCCGATGAGCACGCCTTGCAGCTCGGTGCCCCCTTCCCCGAGCTTCTCGGCGCCCAGTCCGGGCTCGGGGAGCGAGCAGAARACACACATAGAGGATTTCTACTGGATGTCCGGTTACCAACAGCAGCTGAATCCAGAGGCGCTGGGCTTCAGCCCCGAGGACGCAGTGGAAGCTCTGATCAACAGCAGTCACCAGCTCCAGTCCTTCGATGGCTACGCCAGAGGCCAGCAGTTCGCTGGCGCAGCCGGAGCAGGAGGCGCCATGGCCGGGGAAGAGATGGGCTCCGCCGCGGCGGTGGTGTCAGCCGTCATCGCCGCGGCGGCCGCTCAGAACGGAGCGCAGCACCACCACCACCATCACCACCACCACAGCAGCAGCCACCACCAGGCGCCGGGCGTCCAGTCCAACGGCTCTTCTGGGACGGGCCACCCCCACATGCGCCTGGAGGAGCGCTTCTCGGACGAGCAGCTGGTCACCATGTCGGTGCGGGAGCTGAAYCGGCAGCTGCGGGGGGTCAGCAAAGAAGAAGTGATCAGAYTGAAGCAGAAGAGGAGGACCCTAAAGAACAGAGGCTACGCTCAGTCCTGCCGGTTCAAGCGGGTCCAGCAGCGGCACGTCCTGGAGGGAGAGAAGACGCAGCTCATGCAGCAGGTCGAGCACCTAAAGCAGGAGATCTCCAGGCTGGTCCGGGAGAGGGACGCGTACAAAGAAAAGTATGAGAAGCTCATCAGCAACGGCTTCAGAGAAAACGGTTCCAGCAGTGACAACAACCCGTCATCCCCGGAGTTTTTCATGTGAGTCTTCACGTTCTCGCGAAAAGAAAGAAAGAAAAAAGAAAAACARTCAGAAGAGTTTCTTACGCCGTCTAAAAGTTTTCATTTCGAAACATGTTTTTTTTCTTCCTCCCTTTTTTTCTTTTTTATATTTTTGCGCAAAGCCAGCTTTGTCAACTTTTTAAATTATTTTATACGTTTTTTTATTTACAACAATTTTCACGAGTCTGCAACTATTTTATTTTTTATTTGTGTTTATTTTTATTAATCCTGGAGGGAAAAAACTTTCATCCAACTTTTGCGTTAATTTTCAACATATTATGCATTTTCTGAGTTTCTTATTTTCCTGACAGTTTGTTAGATTTGCAGTGTTTTATTTTTGAAAAAAAAAAAGAAAAGAAAAAAAACTTTGTGCCGCAGTATCAGAAGTGTGCATGCACGCACTCCCTTGAAGTCCCCCCCCCTTTTTTTTTGTACTCCATTTGACTTTTATTTCTGTGTACAAACTGTCAAAACTGCATCCATCGACCCAGTTTTCTCCCCCTGTGCACTTTTACAATAAAACATCTGCCAAACTGGGAGGATTGTAGCCTGCCATTTTGACACCACCTCATCTCATGCTTGTCATTGTGTTGAGCAACAAAAGWGACTGTGTAATCATGACATTGTTCTTAATGAGATGTGTCGTTGAACTGCCCTGCATGCTGGACATGTATGGTTAATTTTCTTTTTTTGTGTGCTTGAAGATGTCTTTATTTTGTCAGATGACTTGACTCCAGCATGGCATTCATAACTTCACTTTTTATGTTTTTTACTTTTTTGTTGTTTTGTTTTCGGCCTCCCTTTTTGGGACAAAAAAGTGACAGGACTTCCTATCTACTCCACCCCCTTGTAATGTATATCATAAGTGCATTTCAGCTGTGTTGAGGTGCTCCAACATTGGCTGTCATTTTAGGCTACAGGGASTGCGCAAAGCATCCCTCATGGAACTTTTTTTTTCCTTTTTTTGTCGGCGGGGATCCTTGTGGAAAAAAGGGGGCAAAGACAAGACTTTTCTAAAAAAAATCCATTCCCTGGAATTCTAGTCTGTTGCTTTAAGCTTATAATGTTATTTAAGGAATATCCATTTGTGCTTTTGTCAATCATTTTAAGTAACTTCAAAACATTTAATTTAAGGACAAAGTTGTATTATATTTGTTGCAAAGTAGAAAACATGTGCTGCAGGTTGAAGCATATTAGAAACTGTTGTACAAAAGTCATCCTGGGATGCATAGATAAATTGGCTCGGCTCCAATTTTGACAGCAGTACTAATCGTCCAGTGCGTAAAACTGCGCTTTTTTGCAGCAGCATGTGCTTTAAAGCGAAGAGCGAGAGCTCTGGACTCCGCTATATTTAATTATTGTATGCCACAATGTTACTAATGGAAATAAAAGAATAAAAAAAGGCAAAATGATTAAAAAAATAAATAAAAAGTAAAAGTATTGTGGGAGAATATATTTGTCTTTGCTGAAGTCCAAGCGACTTTTTTTTATGTTTTTGGAAATGTTTTATTCATCAAACTGACCGACTGAAATGCACTAAAAATGATTCTCCTGTATCATCAGTTTTTGGGTAAATTTTATCCACACCTTTTTGAATGATCAGCTTCTGTTACGACTTCATCGTAACGTTTTTAATGCCCTGATCAGTTCAGAAGAAAATGTAGTTTGTCTTAAAGAAAGTTAATGTTTGCAAAGCAATAATTCATATTAATATAATCAATGATGTCTGGACATTGTTAGATTTTCAGGGATTGTCACCCTGCATGTACAAATGGAGAATTCTAAATCCTGAAAATACGGTTATTAATCTTTCAACTTATAAATAGTATATATAAATATATATATATATAAATATATATTTTGCTGTGCAAAATTATACCACTCACTAACCATATGTGATGTTCATATGTGCTCATTTTTTTATTTCATACAATTAAATGATATGCAATAAATGTATGCAACTGAATTCATGTTTCTCTTTCTTTTTCTTTTGCCTTGTCCAGATTTTATTTAACCATTTTTCTACATTTAAGCATGCACTGAAAAATGACATTTTATCACTGTTTATTGGTTGTATTTGTCCTCTTTTCATATATTTTTATGCAGATACAAATCTTGTGTAATGCATCAGCTGGAACCAATTCAGAAACATGATTTTAAACAGTTGAAACTGAGATAGAAAGTTACACAGATGGACAAATTTCACATATTTCAAGCAGGCTACTGTGAGTGAAAGGTGCAACAGAGAGGTTTATGGGAACAGAAAGTGTTCGGAAGACTTCACTTTGACTTTATCACAATGCTTTCCTGACATATTGTGGGACACTACATTTTCCTTTTTACTAGCAAACGATAAATCAACAGCAACATGAAACATTGTTGCCATTTCTGTGCCTCTATTCCACCTCCCCTAATCAAATTATTAAATTTTGATCGAAGATGATCTTTAAATGAATGAATTAAGTGCATCTTAAATTGTGTGTTTAGAATCACACTGTGATTCCTTACGATGATCTGAACTTTTATGTAAGGTGATTTGTGTGAGTCAGTGATTGTACATGTGCATGTGTGTGCGTGTGTTCATGTCTTAAGCATGTGCATATTTTTTAATAGGTTTGAATTTAAATGCAGATGTGTTTCCTTGCATAACAAAATATCTCAGTTACAGGTGTGTTTTACATTTCAGGTTGTTTCTCAGGCATTTTATTATTATTATTATTAATTATAATTATTGTTATTTTGATACCCAGTGTATTTATGTGTAGTGTGCATGTATTTTGTGTTATTTTTTCTCCCCTTTTTTCAGACTCAATGTGTTTACGGTAATTAGTGTGTCATCATTTGGCCCTCCCAGTCACTCAGCCCCGTTGTGTTTGTCAGTGGGTCTGGATGTTGGCCTCAATCACACACGCTCTGGGCGATGGGGCGCAAAGAGGGTGAAACCACGACAGGCATCTGAGTGGGCGCTGGAGAAGGTGCAAGTATAAGTCAGCCACTGTTGTGAGCAGGAGAGGCTCCGCTTTTCTCGAGCAAATCTTGCATTTCATCTGCTGTTTAGAGTTCTTATAGGCTGACATTTTTTAGCATCACTATCTTACTGCACTGGTGTGTTCAGTGAATAAAAGGTGCTTTTCTGAAGAATAGAAAAAAAACATATTTGTTCAACTCACTGTTTCAGAACAATCTGTCGAAACAGGAAGACCAGCATGGCCAAAACACACTTTGAAAGAACAGTAAGGTCGTTCAGAAGGCAGGATTAATCTAGGTTAATCAACTTTAAGCAGTTTAGCCACAACTCTGTGAGGCCGTGACTGAAGCACAAGTCAAAAGAGACCCTTTTTGTTTAAACAAAGTAAAGAAAAAAAAGCCACACACTGTTAACACTGAGTAAACAGCTCTTATTTAGTAATACGTCACTTTGCAGTTTCAAATTTAGGACCACATTTACATACAGAAAAATAAGCAAATAATAATAAAGTTGTGTTCTGTACCATCTGCCTTTGATGATGCAGTTACACACCTGCCCCCTCTTAAAAAAAGGAGACAAAAAAGCAGTTTTAACCCACCACTTGTATCCCAACTGAGGTGGGTGTGCTGCTGCTGTGGTGGCTGATTCGTCCCGAGCGAGTGGAGAGACTGAGACAATAGTCGGTCTTGGGCTGAATTAAATGATTTTGCTGATGATTAATAGTGGTGTGGGCCGCTGGCTCCTGCGATGTAGAGATGATAAATCGTGAGTGCAGCTCCGTGCAGCTGTGCCCGTTTTGGGTCTTAGCATGCGCACACCATGCAATTTACAACCAAGCTGCTCTCCTTCTTTCTCAATTTATCTAATTACGTCCTATTTGATCTGAGCAGTAGCACTGCTATATTTTGATATTTCATATTAACCACAACATTGGACTGAACGACTTAAGTGAGGACAACTGTTTGCTTCTCTTTAATTTCCCTTTTAAGTTTGTCATGTCAAAGAGAAAATTATTCCTCCCACACTTAGATGTTTGGCTTTTACTTCACTAACTAACTAAATTCATTTGTATTAGTAGGACTTTAGAAGTCTTCTAAGTTGCATTTAAAGCAATAAAACATGATTTTTGGTTAGGACTGCCTTGTTATTTTTAACTGCTCCCTTACTGAAACAGTCCACATTACAACACAAACACAAATGGTTGAAGTGGCCTGACATATTTTATTTTTGTTTTTATGTTTATTTATTTTTTGTTTCGAACTTATGTTTTACAGCATGGTTTTATTTTTTTTCTCTTGGTTCATTCATTGAAGTGAACTTCATGACATTGTAGTGAAAAGAGATCAAACCAGAAATCCTCAAAAAAGTGCTYTCTTTTTTGTCTGTGGCAAAGTTACATGAGACAAACTGATTGGTCTTCCAGAGGTGAACTCGTGTGGAACTTTGGTGCCGGCTGACAGCATAATTAGCAGCACAACATTCTCTCAAGAAGCAGCACATCAGTTGACAAAATAGAAAAAATAATAAAAAAGAATGAACAGTGGTTGGAAATTTAATTTTTTAGATGTTTTCTTGTATTCTTTTCTTCTCTGTGTCCTAAGTCATGCTGCTCTGTGTGAGAGTTTGATTAGTGGACATGCAGGAAAATAAAAAGAGACATGTTCATCTGTGTAAATGCTTGATCGACTGTCTGTGCATGCTTGTATGTCTGTTTTTCTCTTGTGGAGGAGGATGATCAGAGGTCAGAAGTGACAGTGCACCAGGCTGCTCTCAAAGTCATTAGAGTAATCCYTGCCCAGGGGGGTGGGAGGTGGGGTGGGATCACACTCATTTCCTCTGCACAGACCCTACCGAATGAGACGAACGTGCACATTCGACACGGCACAGTTCACAGTGAAATCAACTACTTGCATCATTATTTATTTATTTCGCTTTTTTAAACTCATTTCTTCTCATTTATTTCTTAGGAAGTCACACACAAAGCAAGCATTTTGCTTTACAGAGGAGTGTTTTTTTTAAACAGCTCACATATTTAAGAATTGCTGTGTTCATGAAAGTGTAAATAATAAAGTAGCCATGTTAACATAACTTTTCTCTACGTGAAAAAGGTGTTAAAATGTCTTTAAATGCAGCTTGTAGCCCAAATGTTTTTGTAGAATTTAGAACTGGGCAAACAGCTGCCAAGGGTTATTTTCATGCTGCCAAAATTATTATTTTTTCACTACATAGTTCAAAAGCACTACTGAGTCAGTCTTTTTAGTGGTGGAAGGTATGATTAAAAAAAGAAAAAAAAAAGCTCAGGCAGGTTTTTGGACCAGGCTAACTAAGTACATAATGAGGGTAATTCGGTGGCAATTTTACTCTCAGGCCAAGATCATGCAAGTGCTGCGTTGTGAAAGTTGGACAGACAATAAAACAAATGAATGATTTTTTTWAAATTTTCCCTTGCTTTAGCTGACACATATTTAGTTCGCATTCAGTGAAGACAAGCATGCAACAACACTATCTAACAAATGAAACAACTATAGCAACCAAAGAAGTGATTCCACAAGAGAGAAAGAAAAAAAATCACCACCATATTCTGTATTAACTTGCTTTTATTTTAAACCGTTTTTGCTAAAACTTCACATTTGGCATTTGTTTACTTCATTCATTTATACATTTGTATCATTTCATGGTTGGCATATTTGTAGTCCGCATTGAAATGCAAATAATCATTGAGGAAAGATTTAAGTCACAAGTTTAAAAAAAATGTTTGATCTAAGTTGGGTGGTGCAGAGCAGACCACAAAGAAGACTGCGGGATGTTCAAGGAGCTCCCAGTCACATCAGTCACACAGCCCAGACAGGCAGCTGTTACATCTGTCATCAGTCTCTCCAGATTTGGAACAGACACACACATACAGAAAGARAAAAAAAGACTTCCACTTAATTTACACTGTGAAATATTCTTCAGACAAACTCAGTCACTGAATAACAGCACGAAGATTTAGTGGTTAAAACTGTTGCTTCACAGCAAGAAGGTTTTGGGTTCAAGCCCCGGACCTGGGGAATCCCTGTGTGGAGTTTTTTTTTATGTTCTCCTCAACATTGTGTGGTCTTTCTCCAGGTACTCTGGTTTTCTCCCACCAAAAATTTGGGCACAGCTTTGTTATGCAAAAGCAATTTGTCATCTAAATGTTACTTAAAAAAAGTTAATAAAGAAATGAGAAAAAGATTATCAGGCATCAGCTGAACTTTTACGGCCAATCATTTGAGTTGGATTTGCCCTTTTTGTGTGTTTCTCGTTTGCACAGAAAGTGAGTTTTAATGGACATAAGGGGAAACACGTGGTGTCATTGGAGAATTGTCCCTGAAAGACTGGCTGCCAGTTATAATGCTGGTAATGAGGTGGTAGGGACTTGCTGAGGTAATTTTAYACATCTGTAAATAGACTCAAACTAAGAGTCTGCAATTTAAATGGATGCAACATTGTCCTTTAGCAGTGTCATTTTAAGTGATAGAGTAAAAAATAGGAATTTAAAAAAGAACAACAACGACAACATTTTAGGACAAAACTGCTGAAAGGGAACTGTCAAATTTTCTGAAGTCAAATATTTATTGACCTTCATTGCAGATTTTTATTCCATGACTGTCAGTTTTTTCAGTAAATGAGGAGTTTTTGTTTGTTGTCACTTTTAAAGCTTTGGAAGAGCTGCATTTAATTATAAAAAGAACAGCAATAATAGATATTCTGCTTCATTTTTTAAATGAAGATTGTTTATTTGTTTTCTACAGGTCAGTTAACAGCAAAAGGTTAGTGGTGACCAACAAAAAATAGGGTGTTTTCTGTCACCACACTGATATCATCATGCAGCCTCACCGCTGCTTTGCTGCAGGTTCTGTATATACGTTTGTAGACAGGAGTTATGTGGCATTTATTTGAAAACCCAAATGATTTAAAATTTCCTTTCCTGCTTTATGCAATGGCAAAGTGTTTCCACAACTGTCATTTTCCACAAGGCTTTAAAGGAACCCTGCTTGGCACCAGTGCACAGGGAGCTAGAAGCTACTTCATTTGTGTAGGAACATTTATAGAGAGGATACGTGAAACTTTGCCTGGACTTTGTATATATA